CATAACACACACACACATTTCCCCTTACTTTTTAGGAGGGGAAAAGTGCATCTTATAGAGCGAAAAATACGGTACTTGCAAGGCATGATTTCAGTCATCTTTAACGTGAACCTTTAAGGTTGGCCTGTTTTATTCCTATGTTTAGGGTAAGGAACTGAGCCCTAAGGCGAGTGTTTGATACCTGGGAGGCCTGCGGACAGCACCAGATCTAGGGTGGTTTTGGCAGTTCCCACGCACAGGGGGCACAAAATTGAGAAGATCCACAATTGAGAAGATTCATCTGGGGGCGCCAAATTTTGGCCTTGCATCGGGTGGCATATTATGAGATGTTACCAAAATTTGCCCCTGCTACAGTAGCTGGTGGATAGCATTGCCCATTCTCCCTGAGTATTGGTCGCACTGACTTTGGCTGATAGGAACTGAACTACAACAACATTGAGGGCCACAGATTCCTGATCAAAGGGCACCAAGCGAATGAATGGCTGGCTGAGGTCAGATATGAAGGTGCTGGTTTCACACACTTCTTCAGAGTGTTCGTAATTCCTGCACTCAATAATAACAGAGAACCCAGACAGACAACCTCTTGCCTTCCAGTGTTCCCTGTTCTTTCTTTTGAAGGGTCTGGTCTCTGGGAAGTTTCTGGAGAATGTTGTTGTTGTTTGGTCGTTTAGTTGTGTCCAACTCTTCGTGACCCCATGGACCAGAGCACGCCAGGCACTCCTGTCTTCCACTGCCTCCCGCAGTTTGGTCAAACTCATGCTGGTAGCTTCGAGAACACTATCCAACCATCTCGTTGTCCCCTTCTCCTTGTGCCCTCCATCTTTCCCAACACCAGGGTCTTTTCCTATCACCATTATTCTGCACCTTGTGGAAGCACTCAGTTAATTCCACTTTCAGCAAATTGCAGGAGAACAGTGCCTAGGACAGGCATCTCCAAACTCGGCCCTCCAGATGTTTTGGGACTACAACTCCCATCATCCTTAGCTAACAGGACCAGTGGTCAGGGATGATGGGAATTGTAGCCCCAAAACATCTGGAGGGCTGGGTTTGCCTATGCCTGGCCTAGAAAATTCAAAAATGCCTTACTGTGGAAAGCACTAGATACTTTGTGGGTCATAGCTCCGTCTCTTAGCTACACTAGATCTGCCCTGAAATGAAAGTCACATTGAGCATTATTATTATGGAGGTCTGTTTCTTTCAACTTGATTTAGCCGGCAGCGATTGCCCCAAGCAGATAAAATACTGAGTCTGTTAATTCTCAGTTTTACTGAAGGTAAGTGAGACAAAACAAGAATTGGTCTAGCAGATTGAATGACAAGGAGAAGCATGCATTCATATTTTTATGTGATTAAACCAACTGAATCCTGTTCATTTTAAATACGCTGCATAAGAGTCTGTGCTGTAATAGCATTTCATGATGTTTGCAGGGCAAACATCAATAACTGAAAAACAATATCTCCCATGAGATGTTTGATCAGCTACCTCAGAGCAGTAAGTAAACAGATATGCAGCAATTAAATGTGTACATAGCCTCACCTGTATTCAGTCTGTAAGCCCTACAAATACATTTTATTGTTTCAACATCAATGAGACAGCTGCATGGCTCCTAAAAATCCAGTTTTGTGTCAGGTTGACTGAAATTTCTTAGCCTTCAGGAGAAAATGCTTCTAGAAAGACCCCAAATGCCATGATATTCTTTAATGAAACTGAGAGTTGTCTGTGTATACCATTGCATTATAAATAATAAATCTTACTGAGAGTTTGTTACTTGGTTTATATAAATAAAACATGGGTAAACAGCTTTTTCCACTAAGTTAGTAGTGCAACGGCTGTCATCTGAGCTTTGGTTATTTGAGACTCCTAGTTGTCCAAAACTCAGTGTGCCCTCTATGTCATTGTAACTCTGTAGATAATGCTCTCCTTAATTTTATTAGTTGGGATAGCTATAAATAGAAGATCTTTGTGCAGGCGTGGCATACTTTGTGCATCCAAGGTGGTGAGGGCAACCAACACGGGAGGGACTAGCAACTTTGATGCCCTTTTTGAGTGCTTAGATGCATCTGGCTATACACTGTCAGAATCAACATGCTGGACTAGTGATACTCATGTCTGGCTATCGATTTGGACTCAAGTATCTCAGTCCAAAACAAAGGGTTGCATCCAAAGTTAGTTCTATCCAGAGTAGACCTATGGGCGTTACTAACTTACTAATTTCAATGGGTTTACTCTGAGTAGAACTCAGTTGGAGACAACTCACTCTACAGCACGCTGGTACTCCTGTGAGTCAAAAAGACAATTCTTACATACTTCAGGTGGAGTTTTTATTTTCTGAATATTTTGGTAGTGTCTGACCCATTCAGACAAAGAAGCTTTTAGTGTGTTGATTCTTCCAAGCAGACCACAAAATTTTCAGCAGCTGCAGCAGCAGCAGCAGCTATTCCTTCTTTTTCACAGCTACTAATGGTGCAGGATACGCGGGTGGCGCTGTGGGTAAAACCTCAGTGCCTCGGACTTGCTGATCGTAAGGTCGGCAGTTCGAATCCCCGCGGCGGGGTGAGCTCCTGTCATTCGGTCCCAGCTCCTGCCCACCTAGCAGTTCGAAAGCACCCCTAAGTGCAAGTAGATAAATAGGGACCGCTTTCTAGCGGGAAGGTAAATGGCATTTCCGTGTGTGGCGCTGGTGCTGGCTTGCCAGTTGCAGCTTCGACAATCTGGCCACGTGACCCGGAAGTGTCTTCAGACGGCGCCGGCTCCCGGCCTCTTGAGCGAGATGAGCACGCAACCCTAGAGTCGGTCACGACTGGCCCGTACGGGCAGGGGTACCTTTACCTTTAATGGTGCAGAACCCCCAATTTATTTTGCATCTGGCTACCCTAATCCTTTAATCTGCTCAGAATAATCATTACAAATCATTAAATAAAAACCAATGATTAATGGGGGGGGGGGGGGACACATCCACCAGGTCAAATTAGGAATTTGCTTTTTGAACTTAATTGCTTCTATTGCCTGTCAAAAGGCAAGCAGTAAAGGAGTCAGGCGCTTCTTCCTAGGCAACCTGTTCCACAGTCAGGATGCATCAGTTCAGAAGACCCTCCCTTATCAAGTGGACAGAAGAATTTCTAGTTCTGCGCAACACTGGTTAGCTTCCATAGCTCGTAATTGTGCTTCCATGTACAGGAGCACTCTCTGATTACCGGATGCTGAAGGAAACACAGGTGGGTTTGTCATCTTGCTGATGGAACTTTTTAAATTTGTTATTATTTCATTAATTAAAGTTCTATACCGCCCTTCCTCCGAGGATCACAGGGCAGTTTACAATATAAAAACACAGGAATACATGCCATAGTAACGAGAGCAGCACTATATAGAATGCATTGCAATATTCCTGTCTGCAAGTTACCAAAGAGAGCACAGCTAGAAAAGCCTCTGGTTTGATCCAGCTTTTGATTTTTAATTCACTTCTCCCAAACAAATATTTACTTCATTAATAAGTGGAAGATATTTTTTCTGGATTTGATAAGCTCAGTACCAGCCTGCCTTTTTTTACACGTATATAGACAAAGTTGCAAAAAATGATTCATTCATCAGAACAGGATAAAAACAGTGTTTTTGGTAGCTTTAATTAAAAGGCATAGCACTCAACCCATGCAAATTATTATAATTGTGGTTTGCAGCGTATTGTGAGGCCTACTTCATGAGGCACATATCTCTCAGTGTGCAGCCTAAAGATAGGGGTCAACACAGCGGCCATAATTGCAGCTCAACACAAATCACACATAATAAAATCTATGGTGCAAAAGAGCATAGAATGCCAGGCAGTCATAATTTCTGCTCATTTTACTTTTGACATGCAATTGTGAGATGACACATTTGCCATTAAAAAATAATAATGTATCTATGGAGAATTCTCCAGCTTCTGCCACAGTTGATTTAAAAACGACCGCCCATCAAGATACCCCTGCTACACTTTGGTTTCTAATTATCTTCTGCTCCTATGGATTAATTAGTTTAAAACTTGTGGCAGTGTCAGGTGCTAAATCTTTAACCTTCCCAAATGATTCCATTTCAAAGTTGACAGATATTCTACAAATGGGACCTGCAACAAAAAGTTATAGTGCAGAGTCTACTGGTTCAGGGTTCCAGCTGTCCATGCCTTCTTTCCATTGCATCCCCTTCTCCCCCCCCCCCAAAAAAGAGAGAGTCAGCCACTATTCTGTGGCAGCTGAGTATGCTTGGTCCTCACTGTGCTGTTTTTGCCATCTCCAACGTTTTGCTTTTCCCTAAAATATTTTGTATTTCTGCAAACCTTGGAGATACCTCCCTCTCTTGTGTTGGTGTTATTTGAATTACATTTGGAGACCGAAGTTTCCTCTTGGTATATAGGATCTCAGTCTAATTGATGATGTAATTATTAGACGATCTAAGCAAATGCAAAAGCGGGCAGGGCTTCTGTCCCTTTAATAGTTGTGTATAATAATAATAATAATAATAATATCTTTTGATTTATACCCTGCCCTCACCAGCCAGGACCGGGCTCAGGGTGGCTAACACCAAATATGAATTACAATAAAACGTAATAGGAAAACAACAACAACAACAACAACAACAAACAAACAAACAAACAAACAAACAAACAGTTAATTAAAATACGGCTTAAAATACAGCTTAAAATACAGCATTTTAGTAGTAACTCATAAATCAAGACCATAAAGCCAGGAAACATCAGGTATTCACCCGGGCCAGCTATCCATGCTGGTCCTACATGGGCCAGCAAAAAAGCCAAGGGAAAATTTATATGCCAAATCCCATATAAGGGGTCAGAGTGAGGCTAAGCCGAAGTCCAGGTGGAACAGCTCCGTCTTGCAGGCCCTGCAAGGCCCTAGTCTCTTGTGACAGAGCGTTCCACCACATTGGGGCCAGTGCTGATAATTTATCTCACCTGGATGAATATTAAATGTGCAAGAGTCTTGCCCTCTGCTACATCTGGCCAGGTTAGGGTAGATAGCTCAGTAGGTTAAAGCATGGTGCTGATAATGCCAAGGTTACAGGTTTGATCCCCGTAAAGGACAACTACATATTCCTGCATTGCAGGGGATTGGACTAGAACTATTCTCAGGGTCCTTTCCAACTCTTTGTGTCTATATTCTGAGCCAAGGAGTCTTATTTTTCAGAGCTAGCATTCAGTTGAGGAAGACATGAACAAGCACAATGGTTTCTGGATAGGTATCTCCTGCTAAGGAAGTACAGTGGTACCTCAGATTAAGAACTTAATTCGTTCTGGAGGTCTGTTCTTAACCTGAAACTGTTCTTAACCTGAAGCACCACTTTAGCTAATGGGGCCTCCTGCTGCCGCTGCTGCACGATTTCTGTTCTCATACTGAAGCAAAGTTCTTAACCCGAGGTAATATTTCTGGGTTAGCAGAGTCTGTAACCTGAAGCATATGTAACCTGAATCGTATGTAACCCGAGGTACCACTGTACGAAGACCTGGAACCTGAAGTCACTTGGCCTATACAATACCGCTCCTGTTCCCTCACAGACCACAGGAAATGTTGTTGACTAAACATGCAACCACCCAGTTCACACATTCCATTTGCCAATGTGTGTCCACTCTGGGATTTGATCATGAGAAGAAACACCTTCTACTGAGTCTGGTGAGTTGGGTCTGAATGCTAGGATTAAGGCAACATATCGATTTCCATAGTTCCTCTCCCCCACACCTGTTGTACAACTGATGCTTCTATTGGGGTGCATCAGTGCATGTTGCACTACTTCTGATGCAGCCTGATGAGTGTGTATTTTTGTTGGTCCATGTGACAGAGATTGTACTCTGAACATACAGTGGTACCTCTGGTTAAGAACTTAATTAATTCTGGAGGTCCGTTCTTAATCTGAGGTACCACTTTAGCTAATGGGGTCTCCCACTGCTGCCACGTGATTTCTGTTCTCATCCTGAGGTAAAGTTCTTAACCCAAGGTACTACTTCCAGGTTAGCGGAGTCTGTAACCTAAAGCGTCTGTAACCTGAGGTACCAGTGTATTGTAACCCACGACTTCTCAGAGTAGTGAGAAGTTCCAGGCATGTTTATTCCTGTTTGGCTTCCTTTGGAAGGAAGCCACTGGAAGCTTCTGGCATTTTAAAGCATTTGTAAAGTGTAACTATTTAGTAATATTTTACAAATATACAGGGTGAACATAAATGGAAGCACACAGCTTAAATATGCCAGCAGAAAATTCTCAGCTCTCCAGAGAGGGTCATCCCCTCCAAAAAAGTGTTGTTATTTTCCCCAGCATTTGCTTCCTCTTTGCATTTTCTCTCCAAAAATGTAGTCTGCCTCTGAATATGCTGTTATTAATTTTTCCACACATGCCTAGCTTGCCCCTTACTTAGGTGGAAAGGGGAGCGGAAAAGAAGAATGACTTACTTTCTTTTACAATTTTCTAGCCTTTTTGGACCCTAACTTACGATCTGGCTGACAGTTTTCCCAGTGATTATCAAGGAAAATTTGCAGTCATTCTGGCACCATTACCACCCCCCCCCCCGATCCCCAACTCTTACAACAGAGTTATTTGGGAGCCGTGCTGTTGCTGTGCAACTGTTCTTGCTTTTATGAAGTGTGCTATTGTTGCAATGTATATCAGTGCTGGAAGCATAACATTACTGTACGTATGATATCATTTGAGTGTTCTTCTGGCATTGTTTCTGATGCTAGGCAATTATTTTGTCACACCCTCTCTTTTATGCAAGCAGAGTAAGAACCATTGCCCTTTTCAAACCACCCAACAGGTGCTTTGGCCATTGCTCTGGAACTGTGTATCTGGAATAAGTAGTTAACTTCCATCACATTCCACGTTTGACTGATGGCAAAATGGGAGACGTAGCCATGGGGGCTGATAGGAGAACACAGCCTCCACATACTGCCCCCTGCCAAACGCCTATCTTGTTGCAGAGGCGCCGGTCCTGTTTCACCACAGAATATTGTTTTATGGTTAGGTCTTTTGAAACCAGGGGCAGGGAACCTCCAGGCCACAAACCAGCTGTTTAGTCCTTTGGCCAAGTGGCAAAGCATGGGGGGGAGCACAGGGGCGGTTGCCCCGGGCGCAAAATTGTTAGGGGCACAACATTTCAACACCCGGTGCTCCCCCCGTACAGCTGCATGCTTCTATTCCTGGGCTCCATTCAAAACGGCTTCTCCATGCGCACCAGGAAGTGCTCTCTCCAGACAACAGAACGACTCTTCTTTCCTTATCTCTGTGGCTACGATCTTTTGAGTGATACAGATACTGTTCCACACAGCCCCGGGTGCTGACAACCCATGCTACACCACTGCTTTGGCAGATGCCCCGAGTGTCCCTATTTTCCAGGGACACTCCCAGATTTACGGAAGCTGTCCTGGTTTCTGATTTGATCCCAGAATGTCCTGCTTTTCCTTAAAGTAAAGGTAAAGGGACCTCTGACCATTAGGTCCAGTCGTGACCGACTCTGGGGTTGCGGCACTCATCTCACTTTATTGGCCGAGGGAGCCGGCGTACAGCTTCCGGGTCACGTGGCCAGAATGACTAAGCCGCTTCTGGCGAACCAGAGCAGTGCACGGAAACACCGTTTATCTTCCTGCCGGAGCAGTAACTATTTATCTACTTGCACTTTGGCGTGCTTTTGAACTGCTAGGTTGGCAGCAGCAGGGACCGAGCAACGGGAGCTCACCCCGTCGTGGGGATTCGAACCGCCAACCTTCTGATTGGCAAGTCCTAGGCTCTGTGGTTTAACCCACAGCACCACCCACGTCCCTTTTCCTTAGGACGTCCCTATTTTCATTGGAGAAGTGTTGGAGGGTATGGAGTTATGTGGACCCGCCCCCCCGAGCCAAGGAGATAAGTAACTGTACAACCTTTAGGGGGCAGCTCTGTACAGGGATGGTTTTTTAAAATGTTTTATTATGTTTTTATATATGTTGGAGGACGCGGGTGCCGCTGTGGGTAAAACCTCAGTGCCTAGGACCTGCCGATCGTAAGGTCGGCGGTTCGAATCCCCGCAGCGGGGTGAGCTCCTGTCGTTCGGTCCCAGCTCCTGCCCACCTAGCAGTTCGAAAGCACAATTAAGTGCAAGTAGATAAATAGGTACCGCTTTATAGTGGGAAGGTAAATGGCGTTTCCGTGTGCTGCGCTGGTGCCGGCTCGCCAGAGCAGCTTCGTCACGCTGGCCACGTGACCCGGAAGTGTCTCCGGACAGCGCTGGCCCCCGGCCTCTTAAGTGAGATGGGCGCACAACCCTAGAGTCGGACACGACTGGCCCGTACGGGCAGGGGTACCTTTACCTTTACCTTTATATATGTTGGAAGCTGCCCTGGGTGGCTGGGACAACCCAGTCAGATGATGATGATGATTATTATTATTGAAGAGGATGTCCCTATTTACACTGGAGAAATGTTGGAGGGTATTGCTTTGCCCTTAAGCTCTCCTCTGGCAGGAGGCTGCCAGCTGCACAATATGCACTTTCAAAGCTCTCACTTACCCAGTGGGAGATTAATCAGGCCAGGTCAGGCCAGCTAACAGCCTACTTGATCCATGTTTTCAAAAACATCCCCCAGGCCATGCACTCACAAAAAGAAAACAGTTGGTGCTTTGCACCACCAGTGGCCCGTCAGATAAGAAATAAGATCCCCCATTCTTGTTAACATTTTATATAAATGTCCCTTTGCCCCTATGGTATAATGTATATATGTTTGGGTATATATCTGGGGTCCCTTTAGGTAACAAGCAGCGACGACAACATTGGATGTGTCACGCTGCATTCCTAGACGCTCTCACTTAAGAGTACACCTCACTGAACACAGTGGGACTTAATTCTGAGCAAACGTGACGCAGATTGTATTGTAAGAGATTTCGTTTTGCCAGAGAATGTCTGGTTTTGGTCTGGGTCTTAATTTGTCACCAGGCAAGGGCTGCACAACGCGGCAACTGAATTGTACTCCGTCAGCCAGGAGGAAGAGGCGGCTTAACCCTTCTCACGAACACAACTTCTCACTGGAAAATGCCCTCCCTGGGCCATGTTTAATAAGCCTTTTCAACATCCAGGCTCTAAAATGAGAAGAAGGTTGGCAGAGAAGCAGCAGCCTAGGTGGAGGAGAGTGCATTTACAGAGCAGGACTGGTGGGTACCAGAGGGATCCTTTTTCCCTATTCTTCCGTATAAAGGTTCCTTTTGCCTCCTCATCTGTGTTTACCTTTACAAACATGAGCTTGGGAATACATGTTTGCTAAAGTAATGTGTGCTTCCACTCTAATTATCAGATCAAGCTGCTAGTCCCTTGTGAGTTTCTGATTGCTGGCTGCAGTTTAATTAAAAAGCTTTCCCATGCACTACTTCAAAATTACATGTACGACTTACCAAACAGTCTATGCAGGGGAATTTAGGACCCCACCCCTCATGCTATGAATGCATTGAAATCGGTTTCTGCCATATATGGGACTTGTTGGTATCCATCTGTCTCTGGAGACAACGGAGGAGTGCGCCTTTGGGAGAGAATCACACTGTTGGAAGGTCGTAGTGCCTGCTGTGGCTGTAGATATGGAAGAGACATGTTTTGTTGCAGCTGGGGCAGATGAAGACATCCAGTCATGCTGCTTCAGATGAACGAGGGTGTTTCTTCTCTCCATGCTTCTCCCAGGGGTCATTCCTCCCCTGGTCCCTGTTGTGGATGTACAACCCGACTGTCTGTCTCTGCAAGGGATTCTCTCATGGCAGGGTTTTGCCGCTGCCTAGTCTGCAAACATCCACAACGCTATTCAAGCATCATTTTATCTTTAAAGGACACAGGAATGTCATGAGCCAGCCCTGGCTGCTCTACTGCTGACTCCTATGTTTAATGCCATTGTTGTTGTTGTTGTTTAGTCGTTTAGTCGTGTCCGACTCTTTGTGACCCCATGGACCAGAGCATGCCAGGCACTCCTGTCTTCCACTGCCTCGCACAGTTTGGTCAAACTCATGCTGGTAGCTTTGAGAACACTGTCCAACCATCTTGTTCTCTGTCGTCCCCTTCTTCTTGTGCCCTCAATCTTTCCCAACATCAG